TGGCGCCAGTAACGGGAGAGCCAAGCCCGCGCCTCACGCGCCTTACGCGCCGGGGTGGGTCTCGCAGGCGGATGGGGCGCAGGCCCGGAGGGTAAAGGAGGACACTTTGAGTTCCAGCGGTCGCCGACCTTTCGGACCCTAGGAGCGTGACCTCTTGCTCACCACAGTGCCACCTCCCGGGCTGTCAGCCTTCTAGAAGTTCCTTTAGGAAGCCGGTAGTGTGGCCACATTGACCTGGGCCAGGCCCAACTGACACCACTTCCCCTGCCCCCACCACCACTGCCACTTTGCCAGAGAGGAGCCAAATTCCGGATTTCAAAGTGGGGGACATAGCAGCAGCTTGGTGGCAAGCGACAGGAAAAAGGACAAGGGCCCCAACTGAATGGAAAGCAAAGGCCGGGTCCTCCCTGCTGAAACAGCTGCAGCAGACCCGCGTTCCTGCCCTTCTTTGCTGCCTCACCGTAATTCGGTCATTGTTCAAAGCACTTTATACGATTTAACTAATCTCATTGTCACGTGTTACCCCACCAGTGCAGGGTTGACCTGAAGCGCCTACCATAACGAGGCAAGTATACAATAGGCACCAAATGGCTGCCCGTTGTTAGCAATTTGAAAGTTGGCTGTCAAGTGTTAGGGCTGCGGCATCTGCCGGTAAAATGTGGCATTGCAGCCGAGTTTTCCTGGCAAGGAGGTGTGTGGTCCCAGGAGCCTAATGGGAGTTAGGGTTTCCTAAAGGGAAGGTGTGGAAGTCAGAGTGACAGAAAAGAAAGTGGGGGACTGCGCAGGAACTAAAACTTAGAGGCTGTGTGGTTTCCCTGTGCACCAGAAATTCAGTAATTCCTTAATTAATGCAATAGCCCGTTTCATAAAATCGGTTAGAAAATGGGTAGAAGTTGTATCCACACTCATCTTTATTTAGAAGGCCTGTTCTGTAAAGTAAGGGATGCCCGTATGGCCAGAATTTTTTTCTCATTGACCCTAATTCGTTTGGAAAGAGAAGGGATTTTCAAAAGTTTTTTATTTTACCATCATACATACACAGGACAAAAGCTTTCTACCAGTGGTGAGACTTCCCACTGTGGGGAGAGAATGTGTCCCTAGTTGACAGACCCTAGGCTGCAGCCAGGTCAGGAATTTGTTTTGGGGGCAGATAGCTGCTGTCTTGGTTCATGATCACTGATGTTTCAGCAGTTCATTGGCTGGAGATCCTACCTCACATTCAGAAGGAGCTGACTCAGCATTCTTTACTTCGTTCTGTAAACTGAATGGTGCCCATGTGTTGGAAGGTTTCAAATAGCTGGATGAGCAGGACAAGTTCTTTGATAGAGGAAGGAAGAGGAGAGAGAGAGAGAGAGAGAGAGAGTTTAATTGATTTTTAGAGAGGGAGGCAGGGAGAGAGAGAAACATCGATGTGAGAGCGAATCATTTGATTGGCTGCCTCCTGCACACTCCCTACCAGGCATGGAGCCGGAAACCCAGGCACATGAACTGACCTGGAATTGAACCAGCAACCTCCTGGTGCACAGGTTGACTCTCAACTGAGTCATAGCAACCAGAGCGACAAGTTACCTCTTTTTTTTTTTTAATATATTTTATTGATTTCTTCACAGAGAGGAAGGGAGAGAGACAGAGAGTTAGAAACATCAATGAGAGAGAAACATCGATCAGCTGCCTCCTGCACATCTCCCACTGTGCCAAACCGGTTTCGGCGACAAGTTACCTCTTAAAAGTCACTTAATCCCTAAAATCAGAATAAGAACATTTTCCCTATATGATTTTATAATTTCGAGGTTGCAGGTGATGCATGTACTAGTAAAAGGGTTTATAATCATCTTGCTCATCTTCTCCATGTTCTACCACTACTTTTTTTTTTAAATATATTTTATTGATTTTTCACAGAGTGGAAGGGAGATAGTTAGAAACATCGATGAGAGAGAAACATCGATTAGCTGCCTCCTGCACATTCCCTACTGGGGATGTGCCCACAGCCAAGGTACATGCCCTTGACCGGAATCGAACCCGGGACCCCTCAGTCCGCAGGCTGACGCTCTATCCACTGAGCCAAACCGGTTTCGGCTCTACCACTACTTTAATAAGAATTATTTCCTCCTAAGTCTCTATCCAGTTACGACATACGCTTTAGGGAACACACAGATCATATACTAGTCACTAAGCAGTGGCCCTCCATCCCCCCTACCCCGTCCACCTCTGCATAAAATAAAATTTCTCTGCTTCATACGTTGCCTCCTAAACAGAAGCAGTATTGTAATTTTGATCTTAATTCTGATAAAGGAATGTTTACCCCTCTCAGAAAATGTTGGCTTAACAGTGGCATCTCTATGTTATGTGATAGAAGCTTAAATTATTTGTACAAGTTGAGGGAGGAATGATTATTTGTTAATGTGTCCTTGTATTTTTTTGTTATGAGCATATATTACTTTTATAATTTTGTTAAAATACATAAAATTTACCATCAGCCATTTTTAAGAGTACAGTTCATTGATATTATTCACATTATTGTGCAGTCATCATCCCCATTTTATCATGTAAATAAAACTCTAATAAGAGAAACGTGCAAATTGACTGCACCTCTGCTACGTCCAAGCCTCGCCCACCAGCCAATCAGAGCGGCTGTATGCAAATTAACCCAACCAAGATGGCGGCCAGCAGCCATGGAGCTGGAGCAAGCAGGAGTCTTGGTTGCCCCAGCAATGGAAGAAGCCTAGCTTCCCGCTTGCCTGGCCGGCTGTGGCCTCTGCTCAAGGCAACAAAATTTCAACTATAGAAGATAAATAAATCCCAGATACCTGCTTCCAGCCAGCCTCCACTGGGAGCTTGAGGGGTTTGGGGCTGTGGCCAGCCTGCAAACAGCCATCAGTCACTCACCCAGGCTGGCCAGACACCCCAGCGGGGACCCCCACCTGAAGGGGCTGTGGCCAGCCTGCAGCCATCAGCCCCTCACCCAGGCTGGCCAGGCACCCTAACAGAAACCCCCTTCCTGAAGGGGGTGTAGCCAGTCTGAG